AATGAATCACTAATAAAATACTTTTACCGGACTGAAGCGGCCTAAGCACCGTTCCCTTACTTCTAGTGGTCTAAGGGACCATCTAAGCTGGCTATGACTCCATGGTATTTCAGCACCTGCTGTAGTATCAGTAACTAGCAGCATGTTAGTAAACGCATAAGATCGGATTTAATTTTTCTATATAAAAATATGTTTACGTCATACCAGTCACGTGCTATTTAGTTGTTGCTGTTTCTTTGTTTTATTACTATTGTCTTTAGCGGCTTTCCGTATCTTAGGATAGCTTAAGTCTTCTGATACCCATTTCGCCATGGTGACAAATGAAAAGTATGCAATCTATAATAGATCGCTTTCTAGTATCCTCTGTCATGTGGCATGTCAGTCATCCTTCTTACTCTGCATATGTTTGGACTTCCACCTCAGCAGCTGACGAGCTAGCAAGACTTGGTCACTTGCTAGCAGATGATCGAACCATTCCGAACCGTCGGTCCGCGAACACTCTGAGATGTCTGTGAAATCAGCTAATGCCGAACCGTGCGGGAATTATGCTGGGTCACATATCACGGAGCTGTGATGACATCGTATAATACTGTCATTGTGTTTGTGCAGTGTATACGAGAGATGAGAGACAGTTGGTGCAGAATAATAGAACACCATTAACAAGTGTTTCTACACCTCCACTGTTGGAATTGGTATTTTGTACATTGGGCTCATTTGCATATAACCGTTTTATGGAATTTAGGAAATTCAGATTTTCTGTCATCTCGCTGTTGAATACTGTAGTTAATTGGTTTGCCTCTTAACCAGTACTTGCTTTGGTTTGTCGTTCAATATGTGTCTAAACCCGGAAGCTGTCCTTCCTCTGTCCAACCCGCACACTTCTCGCCAATCACACTGCCCTGTTTCACGAAACAGACCGATCTCGAAAGGTTATTAACAGCGCCTTTCTGAGGCTTATATTGCCGCAATTAGAACACGCACATTTCGCACCATCTTTCCGCTGTTTAATGTCGCCGTTCGCTGCCTTCCAGGCTGCCATTCTAAGTTTGAAGTGG